GGAAGGCTCAGAGCCTTCTCTCTCCAGCTCAGGCCTCCGACCCGTGTCTCCTGATCCCTCCTTCCAGGAGACACGCAGACACACGCAAAGGACAGTAACGATGGCGGTGAGTGACGGGGACAGAGCAGCACATGCCTGCAGTGTGCTTCCTGCAGCAGGGGGACAAGAACGGGCCTTGGTGTCGCCAAGGCTGGTGCTCTGTGCGGGGAGGCTTCAGCACTCAGGACCCCGGTTCTGTAACAGTCTCAGGACTGTTGAGCATGAGAGGGATTTGGTGTATGAATGTGCACGACAGTCCCCCAGTGCATGCATGGTACGCAGCAGGCCTCGGTAGGTGCGCGGCGCTGGTAACCGGTCCCGCCTCCCCTGCTCCACCAGGCCTGTCGGCAGAGCACATATATATTCTCGCTGGGGTTTCTATGGCCTTTCTCCTTTGTCTCCTTCTCCTGATCATTTTCCTCCTGCGCCAGCATCAGAAAAAACACAGTAGGTCTCAGGAAGAGGGTGGGGTGACTTGGGCAGGCTGTTTGGGGTGCTGGGAAGAGGGCTGGTCTTAATTCACACTCCTGACTGTCTTTAGGGCCCCGCAGCAGCGCAGGCAAGGAGCAGATGCCCCAGGAGAGGTGAGGACCCTGGGATGACCCCCAGCCCCCCTGCCACCCTCTGATTCCTGGGGGGGCCCAGCACTCACTTGTTCTTTCCTCTCAGGGCCTGCCCAGCTGTGGACGCCCTAGAGAGGACACCAGGTAAAGGGACAAGGAGATTGGACAGGCCAGAGGGAGGGGACGTGGGGGTTCAGCACTGTTCAAGGAGCAATGAGGGGAGGACAAACACCTGGGAACATTCTAGAATGTTCTAGATGGGAAGCAAGAGCAAGTCTGAAGCTCTGAGCTTTCCGGCAAATGTGCCTGCTGAGGTCCACCCCAGAGAACGGACCCCTTGGTCCTCTCCCCTCCAGATCTGGCCACAGTGGACAGGCTTCCTGAGGACAGGGAGATATGCACCTCAGTAAGTTTGTCTCAAAAACATACCAATACTCCATGAATTTTCCCCGAAAGACTGTTCACAATAGACCAGTATAGAAACTTAAATGAATAGTGACACAAGAATGGATAAAGAAAATGCTATATATATATATATGTACAATATAATCCTATTCACCTCTACAAAAGAGTTAAATCCTGTCATTATTTGACAGTATGTATAGCCTTAGAGAAAACTATGCTAATTAAAACAAGCCAGATACTGAAAGAGAAATACTGTATAATCACACTTGTATGTGGAATCTAAAATAGTCCAAATTAGAGAATCAGAGGGTACAACATTGTTGGCTAGGGGAGGGGAAAGCAGGAAATGGGGAGATGCTGTTCAAAAATCAAAAGGTACAAAGTTTTAGTTATGCAAGAGAAATAAGTTCTGCAGATCTACAGTATCGCTGGCACACTACAGTGTATACTTAAAATTACGTGAAAGTTTAGATTTTCTGTCAAAGAAGAAATCACATGGATTTTTAAAACTATCACGATAAAAATGGAAACACAACACAGCAAACTCGGGGGACGTAAGTGGCGGCAGCACTGAGGAGGCTGCCTGCAGTGGTAAATCTTACATTACAGAAAACGAGTGGTCTCCAATCAGAAATAGGATTTTATACCTCAAGAAATCAGAAAAGTAACAAAGTGCACCAAAATTTAGTAGAAGGAATAAGATCAGAGCAGGGAGAAATGAAACACAATAGGAAAACTACCTAAAAATCAAGAGACCGAGAACAAGTTTTCTGAAAGATTGAGAAATTGACAAACATTTAGCTACGCTGAGAGAGAGAGAGAGAGAGAGAGAGAGAGAGAGAGAGAGGACGACGAACCCTCAAGTAAATCAGAAATGAAAGGGGGACACTGCAACAGGTGTCACAGAAATGTTGCAAATGGTCTATAAGAAAGTACTATGAACAATTATATGCCAAGAAATTACATATCCTAGAAAATATGGGTACTTTCAGAGAAACATAACAACCTCGCAGACCACATCACCAAGTAATAAAGAAAATGTGAACAGTTACAACGAGAGAGAGTCAAGCAGTCCTCAGAAACCTCCAACACACACCCAGGACCAGAAGGCTTCCCCAGGAGCCTACCAAATACTTACAGAAGAATAAACACGAATCCTGCTATAAATCTTCAGAAACACTTGTATGGAATCACATGATTCTGACATCAAACCCAGAAAAAGAGACAGGAAGAAAAGTAGAGACCGATATTTCTGAAGAACATTGATGCAGAAATCCTTAACATACCAGCAAATAAAATTCAACAGCACATTCAAACCAGTACAGACCACAGGTGGAATTATTCCTGTACGGCTGGGAATATTCAACATACAAAAACCACTCAATGCTAATGCGCTCCATTAATAGGAAGGAAGGGAAAAGAAACACACAATCATCTCAGTTAATGGGGAAAAAGTCGTTGATAACGTTTGACAAACTCTGCAGATAAACACTGAAGGAACCAGGAATAGTGAACACGAGGACCCTATATGAAAGGCACACATAGAACAGTGAGACCGGAAGCTTTCCTTCAAGCTCGGGGAGCGGCCCAGGATGCACCCGGCCCGGAGTGCCGTGCAAAGTGCTGAACTACCCGAAGTCCCAGCCAGGTCATTACCACGCACACGACCAGGAGCCATCCGTGCTGGAAAGGTGGACGCCATAGTTTAAAATGCATGATAGAATCCCACACCCTCTGTCTCTGATGGTAGACCAGGAGCCATCCGTGCTGGAAAGGTGGACGCCATAGTTTAAAATGCATGATAGAATCCCACACCCTCTGTCTCTGATGGTTTCCCGATCATTAAGATTTTGAGCCAGTGACTCACGTGTCCAGCTTCAAATATATTCAAAATCAGGCAGAAAAGATTGCCCCTCTTTGGTCTCCTTTCCCACAACTTACCACATATTTATGAACATTAGTACGTGGCTTCCCCCTGCAGCCTCTTTCATCCGGGCTACGGAGAGCTGACGGTGCATCCAGGTGCAGCCCCGGATGCGTCCCTGCTGCCCACCCACCCTGATGCCCCATCCCCTGCACAAGCCCCATGTCACTGGGTCAGCTGACATGGAACCGAAGTGGGGATGAGAGGTGCTGAGGGGCGACTGCGTGACCAGGTCACGCAGTCAGGGTCAGGGCTCAGGGAGACCCAGGAAGGGCCCCTCAGGTAGGACAGACAGAAGGTCACCCGAAGGGTAGGGGCTTTACCTGAGGAACAGCCATTCCCGGCTCCTTCTCTGCTGTCCTCCTCTTTTTCCGGACTTTGGCCTCAGGGAACGTGAGTCTTTCTTAGAAGCCAATCCTGAATGTGGAAAACATGCCGTTTAATGCTTAGAGTCATCGCATTTCCTTCCTTTGCCACAACCACATGGGGGACCTCCCGGTGTGGAAAGGACGGTCCCCTGCTGCCCACTGCTCAGGAGGGACTGGCAGACAGTAACCTCCTTAGGCCACCCAGTGAGTTCCTCCACCACTCTTCAGATCCCGCCTTCCTGGGAAGCCCTTGCACACTCTGCACCAAAAACCTATGCATCAATAAAGGTGAATTAAAAAGAAATCTGCTCAGAGCTTACAACTGACTCTCAATATTTTGCACATGTATAGCTATGTTTTTGCAATTCTGTATTTTTAAAATATTTTACAATTATTTCCTGGAAAAGGAGTTACATGTTACTATCGGTGTGAAAACCTTTATAGAGTGTTACCTGACCAGAGGTTCCCCTTCCAGGAGGTGAGATGGGACCAGCCTTAATGTACGTCATCTGTGTGCAGCAGTGAGCACCAGGGTGCTGAGCCTCCTCTCCTGAGGCTGGGGGTGGCTGCAGGGAGGGATGTCAGGCCTCCATGGGGTGTGATCAAGACCGGGTCTGTGACCTGAAGAGGGGTGTGGGGACAGCCAGGGTCCCCACTGCTGCAGTGTGTGCGATAACGTCTGCTTTTAAAGATGGGAGAATGGAGTGTATGGTAGGCCTGTGCTTGTGTGCAGGGGTCCTCTGTGTGCTTCGAATGCACATACCACCATTTGTGGCTGCGACCAAAGTAACATCCACAAGTCAGCATTGCACATCCAGGTTCTCACCCTGATACCAACACTTAATTCCTTTCCAGAGAGTCACTGTGAAATGTTTTTAAAATGCAGAATTGTGAAAAAGTGACTACAGGTGAGCACAACACTGAACGAGTAAGTTGTAGAAGTTCTGAGCGTGTTTCCTTTTCATTTCAGCTTTACACATGGGTGCGGTTTTGTTTTTGTTTTGAGAATATTGCTGCACCAGACATAGTTGGGCTCTGTTGCACAGAGCTTCCAAGTCAATCCGGCACATCTTCAACACTGCAGAAAAAAGGCAAGAGAGACCAGAGGGGAACAACTACTCTGAGGTCACAGCTCACTATGTTAATAAATCACATAAAAGGGAAGAAAACTGAGTACTACAAAACTGGTTAAATTAGTCTTTGACTCTTAAAA